GATAAACTCAGTATCTTCTAGCAAGAAGAAACTAATTTTGAACCAATGAACAATTTTTAGTATGAAAATGTTAAAATAGATGTAAAAAGAATTCACCTGCTTCTTGCAAGAAGAGGGGGTATAGCTCAGTGGTAGAGCATTTGACTGCAGATCAAGAGGTCCCCGGTTCAAATCCGGGTGCCCCCTCACTTTAAGTTTTCCACGGCTCAGGTATAACCCAGAACAATCTGAGTCAGCGAGTACGGAATCCAAAACTTCCTGGAGGTGTCCTTTCTTCTGCGTAATTTGCCCGTTCAAATGTTTGCCATACCTGAGACGTAGAGAGCAGCAACCCGAAGGTTGATTTAGTGGGACTGATCTGTATACCGAAGGTGGCGAGAAGCCCACCGGTACCCTCGAGACCTGTTCTTTTAATGTTAACTGTAGTTCGTAACAATGACGTGCCGGGGGAGGGGCAGCATCGGCACAGACTTAAAATAGTAGAAGATAAAAGTGGCGGCTTCCGTCCTTTCTATTAGCTGAGAGGTAGGGCTTCGACCTGAAAACCCAGAGGCGGTAAATTCGAGGACCGGTGTCCAGCAAAGGGGAGAAAAGCCGCTCATTTCTCTCGTTTCGGCTTTGTGCCCGGCCGCAGCTCTGCTGTCTCTCTGTCCAGCCTGGCGACACAGCTACAGTAATGGGGGCCGAAGGGAAAAATGCGCTCGAGTATTCCCCAGGGCTCCGAGGAATGACACAACCAGATTCCAGGTTTAAAATATCGCAGCTGCCCCTTGACCCCGGCAGCATGCCTCTCTCTTTCTCCTTTATTTTTCCTTTTTTTGGGCAAAACTCAGTTGAGGGGACGCCTTTCCTTCTTCCTTATCGTTTTCCTCCGGCCCGACGGTGATATACAGTCAAGGAGCCCGCAGATACCTGTCCCCATTTTTAGGTTTTGAAACTCCATGGGCCTTGTTCAGTGGTTCTCCTAAAGTGTGGTCCTCCGACCAGCAGCACCAGCAGCACCTGGGAAATTGCGAGAAATGCACATTTTCGGGGCTCCACTCCAGGCCTACAGAATCAGAAACTGGGGGTGTTTGAAACAAACCCTCCGAGTAATTCTGATGGACGTTCACGTTTGAGAACCACTGCATTCATGTGTATCAGCATCGGGATATAACTTTAATTTTGTACGTTAAAATGAGCGGGTGGCCATTTAACGTTGTCGGCATGCTTTTCACTCGGCCTGTGTCACGAGCAATAAGGATGCGCGCAGCACCTTCATGTCACTGGTAATAAAGAAAGTTGAAGTTGGAGAAGGGCTGTGTCTGTGGGTTCCCCTCTCTTGAGCCACACCCTACCCCCATCAGCAACGGAACGCCAACTTGGGGGAGTAACCTTGTCCCCCGAACCTGGCACCTCGAACTGCCTGACACATCTGAGGCCGGCGACCTTGGCCGCGGAAATCCAGACACCTCTGGCGCTAGAAATGCGGCCGCGAAGCTTTTGTACCCTACTGTGCGCGTACCCTCCTCTCCTCCTTCCGCTGGGCACAAAGCAAAACTGAAAGGTTTCCGGTAAGTTTGGAAAATGAGGAAGGGACTTTTTTCATTTTTGTTTTCTTTTAGCCTAGGACCCAATGTTCAAAAATGTAAGTCAAAAATGAAACATGGGTTATACTAGTTGGAGGGGAGGAGGAAAAGCCAGCGCGAGGGGGCACCCGGATTTGAACCAGGGACCTCTTGATCTGCAGTCAAATGCTCTACCACTGAGCTATACCCCCGCGCTGCTCCCCCGCCAGAAGGCGGCTCTTCTGCGTGCTAAGACACAGTTGAGTAGAGAATAAGAAACAGGAGAAAGGAATGAAGGAGGGAAGAGGGCCAAGCAGAAAGCAGAAGGTGCCCAGATCCGGGAAACCCGGGGGAAAGCTGCATGGCAGAGGCGCAGGGAGAGAACTAGCCCAGGTCGCGCTGCGCTGAGTCCAGGAGGGAGGCACGGGTTCTACCCTACAAACGAGGGAAAGGGTGCGGGCGGAAAGGGGGCTGGTCAGGGGGGTTCCCCTTCGGTCCGTAGGTTCATGCCAGGTACCGACGGGTAGAAAGGAAAGTCCCTGAATCTGAAGCTGCTCGGGCATTCAGCAGCGTTCCAACCCCACCCTCGATGGGTGCGAGGGGTTTGCCTGCCTCCTGCAGCCCGGGCGCCCCAGATGTGCAGCCAGTCGGGCTCCGCGCCGCCTCCAGCGCGGGAAGGGCCCTGAGCAAGGGGCACGCACGGTCGCCCTGGGATCGCTGGGGCGCTAGCACCCCCAGCCCCGCTGCCCTCCCCGGAACCCGCCCCCGCGCAGCCC